CACCATCCCCAGCCACCCAACCAAGCACTCTTCATCCCTCCCTCACCACTGTGGCAGAGCCGGGCCGGACAGAGAGAGAAGGCAAGGCGGCAGCTCCTTGTATGTGCGCGTGTGTTCTGAGTGAGTCAGTCAGTGAGTCAGCCACCCAGCAACTGAAAAAGGTCACCACAGCACGGCACACACACACACACACAGCCCGGCAAGACACGTCACAGCAAGACACGGCACGGTAAACCACACCATACCCACCCCAATCCACCCCACCCCCTGGCTGCTATCCACATCCACCCCACCCACTTCTGCCCACCCCCCCTGGCCCGTCCCGTGTCTGTCTGAGTGTATCCGTCCGTCATCAGCTAATATCACCTAGCTACTGACGGCCGCCCCCGGTGGACTCCTCGGCGCCCACGGCGTCCACGAGGGAGCCGCATTGCTTCCCCCCTCGCCGACCTGATGAGGAGCCCCCGACTCGCCACCACCCGCAGCACCGCCCGCCCGCGCACCAGCACCACCACCACTGGCCGACGAAGCGCCGACACTGCCGTCGAAAGCGCCGAAGTACCCCCACTCTGGGAATGACATGCCGCTGGGGTCGCCTGTGTGGTTGGGCTGCCCAGCCATCGTGGTGGTGGACGAGCTCGCCGCCGGATGTGAGGCGTCGACTCGGGCGCTCGACGCCGCGGCGGTCTGCTGTGCCTGCTGCCAGCCGGGCATGGTGCGCACACTGAGGGGGCTGGGCTGGCTCTGCGGTGTGTGTGTGTAGGTCGACGCAGTGCCGACAGGCGACCGGCCGGAGGAGGCGTGAGGCCCAGCAACGGCGTGTGGGAAGAAGGTGCCCTGGTGCATGACGCCCGCCCCGCCACCTCCCCCCACGGTGGGCGAGCCGTCGCCGCCCATGCCACTAGCACCACCAACCCCAGCAGTAGTCAGGTAATGCCCCCCAAACATGGCCATGCTCTGCTGTGTGTGGTGGTGGTGCTGCTGCTGGGAGTGGTGCATCATGTGCCCCTGCCCTGGTCCTGGCTGCTGGTGGCCATAGGATGGCTCGGCCGCCCACGCATTCCTCCCGCCCAGAGGGGTGAGGTTGCCATGCTGCCTGTGGTGCGGGTGGGGGGGAATGCCGCCCGGTGGTGCGCCAAAGTTGCCGAAGGTGGAGGGCGACATGATGCCGTTGGGCTGGCCGAAGAACCCCGCAGAGGGCGGAGGTGGGGGCTGGATGGGAGGGGGCGGCACGCCGCCGTAGCCGACATACTGCTGGCCGAGCCCTACCCACTGGCCGCCGCGGTTGGCGGGGCCCTGACCGCCCGGCATCAGGCCGTGGTCGTCGCGAGGATTCCTCGGCGCCTTGGCGATCACTGCACACAGCACCGCATCATGGACACAAACGAACCAGACAGTTAGTCGAGTCGACATCCGGCCACAGTGGTGGATTGGTGACATACGTGGGTGTTCCCTGAGTTGGATCCGTAGGTTGGGTGGCGGCATGCCCTTCTCTTCGCAGAACTTGCGGTAGTCTTCGTAAATGCTGAGGAGCAGCTCGGTGGACATCTGGACGGCAGTGCGATAACCCATGTAGTCGCGGCACGACACACACAGGTGCAGCGACTCGGGAGACTCTGATACGATATAGGACACACACGGACAGACACTTGTTGCTGCATTGGCTGACTGGCATGTGATGGTTTCATGTGTACTGTCTGTCCCCACTCAGCTCCACTCCACTCCACTCCACTCACCCTGTTTGGTGTTTCCCTCGAGGAAGCCGGACCCCTTCCCGCGCAGCCTCAACTTGGCCTCAGACATCTTGAAGATGCGCTTCATGTTCGCACCCTACTCACACACACCACACACCACACAGAGTTACTTGTGTGTGCCGGTCCGGTCCGGTCCGGTCCTGTTGGCCTGCCGACCTTGGTGCCGATGATCCTCCTGGCCACCTGGAACTCGCGATCGTTCTCGATGCCCACGTCGAACCGGCACGTATACTTCCGGATGTGACGGCCGTCAGGCTGACGGAGGGAGGGAGGGAGGTAACACACACAACAAAACGATCAGCAGGTGAGTGAGGTGAGGCGTCTGCACCATCTCTCTCTCTCTCTCTCTGTGTGTGTGTGTGTGTGTGTGTGTGTGGCTGCGCACAGTCATGTTGTTGGGAGGTGACTGCGGCAGCATGTGTGTGCTGGTGTTGTACGAGGCCGGCAGCTGCGTCTCGAACGCCGGCGACGACGAAAACGACCCCCGAGACGGCTCGCCCATACTCACACCGACGTTCGCCTGCACACACACACACACACAACAGAGAGATCAATCCAATACGACGCCCTCTCCACCCATCAGTCAGTGCAGTGGACTCACGGGAGTGGTCCAGCTGCCTGTGTGAGCGGCCGCGTGTGCGCTAGGGCTGGTGGAGAGGCCGCCTGTGGCCCGCGCCTGGGACGAGGCGCTCGACGTGGGGGTGATGTTGAGCTGCTGACCGCGGTACCAGCCCACACGCAGACAACCCTGGACCCCCGTCAACAACTGCTCACACACACATACGGGAGAGAGTGTGATGTGAGTGTCAGGCCAGTGGGTTCAGTGGTCGCCCACCTTACTTACCTTGCCGTTGAGGTCGTTCAGTGCCTTCCGGGCGTCGTCGAAGTCCTCGTACGTCACAACGGCAAACGTCCCGTCGGGCGGGACGTGCACTGACGCCACACGGCCATACCGTGAAAACACCTGAAGACACAAACACGCCAACACACGTGTAGTGCACACGGCCTCCGGCGAAGTGTTCGCTGTCCCGCCCGCTCCGCTCACCTTGCCCAAATCCTCTTCTGTGAGTTGGTACTGGAAGCCGATGCCCTCCACCGACACAGTGACCGAGGGCGTGTCGGGCGGTGGGGCATCGGGCACAGCCATACCCATACCCGTACCCATACCACCACCACTCGCAGCACCGCCCTCACCCATGCCGCCACGCATCGATGTCGGCGGCACGGCGAGGTTGCCGTCTGAGTCGCCCGAGTCCTCCTCACCCACTTCAGCAGCCGCCACGGCAGCGTCCATCCCGTCGCCACTGCTGCTGCCCGGCTTCTCCGGGGTGCAGGGGGAGGTCGTCATGCCGGCGGGGGAGCTCTGAGACGGCCGGCCGCCCCTCTGCTCAACGGCGGACGGCTGCTGGTGTTGCTCGGTGTCTGTTGGGGGCTCGGTGGGTCCGCGCTCGGCGCCTGTGGGTGTGGGTGTGGGTGAAGTTGCTGCGGCCGTGGGCGGCCGTGTGGCGGAGGGAGGGGTCGATAAGCTGGGCATCTGATCGGGCTTGGCACTCTCCTGGACTGGAGTGCCGCTCGAGGATACCTGACGAGCAACGACACACAGGCGTGTCCCTCCCTGTGGTGGTGTTGGTGTTCGGGCCTTTGACCGCACTGGCTCACTGGCCGACCGACTGGCTGACCTGCGATGTGTGAGACTGGAAGAGGTTATATACGTCTTTGGTCAGCTCGGAGGGGTTGATGTTAAAGCCATGGAGCTGCTCCAACACACCCTGGAGTCGGGTCAGTCAGAGAAGAGACGACATTACCGACAGGAAGGACAGAGAGAGAGACGGTTGAGATGACGACGTCGGCCCGGTGTTCTCTTCGTCTTTCCACCCACTTACCTCTATCGTCTGAGAAGACTCCTTCAGCGATGCATCTGAGAGAGCGAGACAAACACGCAGCGCAGAGACACCCCAATCTCCAGCTGGCATCCCCACTTGCAGTGAGTGCCATCAGTGCGTGCCTCACTGCCTGGTGTGCTGCTCACGTCGTGTGTCGGTACCTACCTGTCTGCGAGAGCGCGGCAGCTGCGTCATGTGGCCTGCTCGTCATCACCTCGGCCATGTGGTGCACACCCGCCACACCACGCCACGGCAGCAGGAGACAAAGATCCGCCGACCCCACAAGCGACGCACCAGGCCGGCAACACTCACCCTGCGTCCACTGCCGATGCCGCTGCTGGTGCAAACAGCCACGCTCAGGCGCTGAGTCAGGTGCAGGCCATCGAGCGCAGGGTCGTCTCCGACAGATCAGGGCGACAGGCAGAGTGCTAGCGAAGCAGCTGGCTGATCTGACAGCTAGATCACCCGCAACGCTGCCGTACCGACTGTCTCCTGCCTGGGTCCGTCCCGCGGTGCTGCAGAGAAAGTCAGGCAGACAACTGTTGAAAGAAGCGTGAGAGGGATAGCAGAGTTCCCCAAGGGCTGGACGGGGGGAGGAAGGGGAAAGGCAAGGCGCGAGAGAGGTGAGCTCGCACACAAGCTCGCATTTTGCGGAGAGAGGGCGCGTTTTCTTTCCCCTTTCATCGCATTTCTTGGCGAAGGGACGGAATACTGCGGCCACTCGTCCACCTACGGACGAATCCTCCGTCGCGTCGCACCTCCCGTCCCGGCGACCGTCTTACCGCTTTCTCTGAGCCGTTCCCTGCCCGGCCCGTGCAGCGCATGCATCCAGCCCCCTGAGAGCAAGAGAGGAGCCCTTCACCCACCCATCCTTGAGACTACCGCCACAACCATGAGTAGCGCTGCCCAGGGCCCGCAGAGTGATGGCCGTGACGTTCCTTGAACTGCTAGACATGGAGTGCCTCAGGTGCTCGAGCGGTGAGCGACGAGGGCCACACCGCGCACACACAGTATAGATGGGATCCGTGCGATGCATTTCCTTGCGTCAAGTCATGTCTTTTCCGCCTTTTCCCTTCCCTTTGTTGTGTGTGGTCCGTCCGTCCGTCCGTCCCGCAGCGTTCCCTTGGTGGACGGTGTTCACCGTGTTCGCCTTCGCGCAGACCGTGTTTGGCGTGGTCTCTTTCTTCTTTTTCAACACATTGCTGGCGGTGTGGTCCGTGGTGGTGGCAGTATGGGGCATCCACACCTGGCTGAGGCGGCACCGGTCCGACCTCTGGAGCCTCGACATCGGCCTACTCGTGCTCATCGGCCTCTTCACCGTCTACATGGTCCTCGGCATGCTCCCCGACACGTTCTCGGTGGGCATGGCCATCGGACAGCTGGCCCTCGCGGGGTTCTGGCTCATCTACGGCACCTGCCTGGGATTCTTCGGACCCACTCTCAAGTCCACCGTCACCGCACGACAACACCTCAAGAAATTCTTCGCGGTGAGCCACGGAGGGAGGGAGGGAGGGAGGCGGGCAATGCACACCTACATCGCACAAATGTTCCTTTCTCTGTGTGTGTGTGTGACCATGATGGGTGTGTGCAGTTGTTCGGTCTGTCTGCTGGTGAGCAGCGGAAGCCCATCATCGGCGCCAAGGGCGACACCCGCGGCGCCACCTTCGACAACCTCTACCCCGACGACATGGCCTCCACCGAGCGGGGCCTCACACCCACGGAACCACCTCTCACCAAGGAGGCTCAGTTCGGCGCCGCACGTGTCGCTCGCGGACCCTCCCAGATCAGCACTGCCGCGGGGGACGTCCCTCAGCTCGGCAAGACCGGCACGCTCCTCACCCAAGGGTCCGTCACGGGCGGCGTCGAGTCCACCCAGGCGTCCCCACGGCTGGAGCCGCCTAGCGCTCTCGACACAGCCAGGGCCAAGGCCGTCAAGGGTGAGCCCATCAGCAAGCGTGTGGGGTCCTTCGCGCGGTCCCTCTCGCTGCTGTTCGCGCGCGGCAAGAAGCAAGAGGCACCCGAGACGGAGAAGCCCCACGTGGACGTGGGCGACCTCGAGGCGGCACCTGCTGCTGCGGCTGCGGCTGCTGCAGCTGCAGCAGCTGTGCCACTGGAGGAGACCAAGATCGAACAACCCGCCACTGAAGAAGCGCCTCAGGTAAGACTACAGCACGCCTCAACACACAAACAGACAAACAGACCACGTATGTATGTGTGCCTCCCATCTGGGGTCATTTTCTCTCACAGGAGGGTGCTGCGACCGAGGCCGAGGATGTCAAGAAGGCCACAGCCGAGGGGGAGGGCGGCGTGGAGTTGCCGAGTGAGGAGCAGATCGAGATGCAAGTGCAGGGGGTCATTGAACAGGCCCTAGAGGAGCTGGTGGAGCCCACCAAACACGAGGAGGAGGCCGCCCGAGAGGCCGCCGTAGTCACGAGTGAGGTGGAGGTCGAGGTGGCCGCATTCGAGCAGGAGGCGCCGCCCCTGCTGCCACCAGCTGAGGGGGAGGGCGAGAGACAGATACCGACAGACGAAGAGCAGAAACCCGAGCAGCAGCCGGAGGAGACCGTCTCGCCCCCTGCCCCACCGGCAGGCGCCATGTGGTTCGGCGCCGCCCTGTACGAGAGTTGGTTCGGCCCCCGCGAGAAGGGCAAGCCCAGCACCACCGAGCCCCCCTCCGGCGCACAGACTCCCCTCTTCCACCGTGCGTCGCGCCAGAAGCAGGTCACCGACCCAGACTTCGCCATGCCCGCCGCCACACGATCGGTGGCCCTCCCACTCCAGCAGCAGCAGCAGCAGCTCGGTGAGGGCGACGCTGTCCATCGCAGGGGCACCATGGACCTGCGTGGCGTGCCGGCGGAGGTTGAGGGGGCGAGGGTGGTCGCCGGGCAGGTGACGGAGGAGCCACGGCACTACCGTCAGCTGGAGCGGGTGGAGGGGCCCGTGGTTGGGGCGGATGCGTTCGTTGCGGAGCGGCCCGACATCGGCATCGGCATGGGGAGGAAGGTGGAGCGACCTATAGAGGACTACCGCAGCAGCATCCAGTCCACACCCGAGCCAGACGGATCGTCCATCCAGACCGAGGCCGACCGACAGAAACGCGCTGGCCTTCGTGCAGGCGCCGCCATCTCGGCCCCCACCGCCCCTCGTGTGGAGCTCGAGGACGCCACTCGCCCCGTTCAGACCATCTCCGGCGTGGCCCGTCGGAGCCGTACCACCGAGTCACCGCAGTATGGCCGCTATCCCCCGCCTGCTGCCAAGGGTCCCCGCGCCCGTTCATTTGTGTCGCTGGACGAGCAGGACGAGCTGGAGCCGTCGGGTGAGCGCCGTTTGTGGCGCGCCGGCCGGTCACCTGGCCCGGTGGTGGTGTCCATGGAGGCGGAGGAGGGCGACCAGGGCAACGGCGCGAAACTCGTGTGGGAGGAGGACGGTACGAGACCTACACACACACACACACATATATATATATATACACGGCATGGCGGAGGTCATCCCTCATCTCTTGTCATGCTCTCATGGCTGTCACGTGTGTGTGTGTGCAGGCGGTCGTGGGTTCGTGTCAGGCCGTGGGAGTGCCGTCTCCGCGCTGCAGATGCCAGGCCGCATGCCCCCTCACACCATCTCGCAGCAGCCCACACACGAAGGCCAGCTGTACTACGAGCGAGACACTCAGAAGCCGCCGTACCTCCCCTCCCCAGGGGCACCATTCGGCCTCCGACCGGCGGCATCAGTGCAGACCTACCGCGCCCCTCGTGAGGGCGGGCAGGAAGCCGCGGTGGTCGGTGCCGCGGCGGCAGCTGCATCGTTGGTGGAGATCCCTGAGAACTATGAGCTGGGGATGGCGTCCATCGCCAAAGCCATGGGCGAAGCGACTGAACAGATACAAAAGTAAGTGTCCCCCACCCCTACCACACACACACATGCAACAGACACGGCAGACACGCACCCATGTCTGCATGTGTGTGTGTGTGTGTGTGTGCCTTGTCCGTTGCTCACTCAATCAGGATTGGCGTCCATGAGCCTGAGGCACAGCAGCAGGAGCAGATCATCATCCAGGAGGGCAAGGAGTTCGCTGTTGGAGCTGCTGCGCCGGCCCCGCCATCGTACCGCATGGAGGAGCAGCCCCTGTCGGCTCAGGTGCAGGTGGAGCAGCCCCGACAGGAGCTGCCCAAACAAGTTCCTATCCCACAGCAAGAAATCGAAGACTTCGAGTGAGTCAGACACACACACACGCACACTCATCAGACCACCGTCCCGTGAGCCGTCCGTCTCTCTGCCCTTTGTGTCTCTCTCGTGTGTCAGGCCGGTCGTTCTGCCCCCGGTGTCGCCGCGTGAGGTGCCCAGGGAGGCCGGCGTCATCCAACCACCACCACCACCCGCACCGCAGCTGCAGCAGCAGGAGGTTGCCGCGACCATTCCACCCCTCATGCCAGCTGCTGCTGCTGCTGCTGCCGCCGGCCAGGCACAGACACAGCCACCAGCACCCACCACCGGCAACGGTGACCGGAAGGCACTTCTTGAGGGCTTCTTCAAGAGCCAGCTGCTCAGCGTCCCCCGTGAGCTCCTGGAGGGCCTCAAGTCGTTCGGTCGTCGTGCCTCGGGCAGCGCCACACAGAGCGTCGTCGGTCGTCGCAGTGTGGATGCCCGTCTCGGTGGCCGGACGTCATCGGAGGCGAGCGCCCCGCTGCCGAGGGCTTCGTCGCTCAACGGAGGGGGCTACGGACCGGCGGCCATGCTCTTCCCCTCACCGACCCCGCCAGCACCCCAGATGTATGGAGGATTCCCCCCCGGCGCACCCGCACCTGCATTCGCATTCGCACCACCCGCACCGCCAGCTGCCTATGTGCATGCAGCGGGCATGCCGGGCTTCGCATCGCCCCCGCCCGCACCCCCGAGTGACATCTCCTCCTCCCGTGCAGCCCCGTCGGTGCCTTCGCCAGCCATGTACGTTCCCCTGGCCACCACGGCTGCCCCGCCGCCGCCACACGTGTACTCACCTCCCTCTGTCGCGTCGCCATCCCTGCCATCGGGCGCCCTGCACCCCGAGTCCCACCCCAACCTGCATCTGACGTGCCGCGAGGCGGGCGAGGACCGACACATCGAGATCGACGCGCCGCGACACCTGGCGGCGCCCGTGCACGTTGATTTGGACACCGAGGGAGGCGTGGATGTGCGCATCGGCGGAGAGGAGCACCTGTACCATCCGACCGCCCAGCAGCCGGATGGACAGCAGGGGGCTGGCCAGCCACCGCCGCCCAGCCTGCAGCAGCTGTCAGACATGGAAGCGGGGGAGGGGGAGGGGGAGGGGCCTGCCAGTAGCCAGAGGGGGAGTGTGGGAGGGGGTGGTGTGCAGTACCCCCCGCCGCATCTTGTGAGTCGTGACCTAATGCCTGATTCGGAAGACTTGTTGCCGCCCGTCGTGCTGCCCGGCCTGCCCGTCAGCCGCGACCTCTCGCAGCAGCGGAATGGCGCATCGGTCGCGCCGGAACAGCCGCAGACGTTCCTCCAACAAGCACCAACTCTCGTCCAGGTCAGACAGAAGACACACGTGTACTGTAACCATACACACTTACATTTCTCATGACATGCATGTCATGGTGCCTGCAGCCTGACGTTGCTCATGAGGAGGAGGAGGATCTGCTGCCGCCCGTGGTCCTGCCCGAGCACCCTCCGCAGCAGCAGCAGCGAGAGGCGCCCCAGCAGGTGGCAGAGGAGGCCCGCGGCAACGGCGAGATTCACGATATGGAGCGGGCACTCAACGGAGCCCAACAGCCCGACCAGCTGCGGTTCATCCAGGTGACTGACTTGCCAGCCAGCCAAAAGGAGAAACACGCTCTCGCTCCAGCCAGCAGCTCATCTGTGGTCTCTCTGTGTTGTGTGTGGTTGTAGGATGTGGGTGGCGTGCCTGACATCCAGGAGGGCCCGCCCCGCCTGATTCAGCCACCACAGGAGGAGGAAGAACAATACACTCAGGAGGAAGAGCAGGAGGAGGGCGGAGCTGCAGCAGCTGCCGCAGGCGGCGTGCAGTACGGCCTCCTACCTGCCGAACATCCAGCGGACCAGGTCAGTCGCGCCCACATGCTGGCACATGCTGGCTGGCTTCACACGTGTGTGTCATTGCCTTGGACGTTTGTATGTGTTGCCGTGGTACTCGACTCGGCCAGGAGGAGGATTATGCTGGCCTGCAGGAGGAGATCGAGGCGCAGGCACAGCAGCTGCTTCAGCATGAAGAGGAGCTCGAGGGACCAGCGGGCGATGAGGCGGCAGAGGAGGAGGGGGAGGAGGGATACGAGGGCGAGGGGGAGGACGAACAAGGAGAGTACCGTGACGATGCTATCGCTCACGTATGTGAGGACACTATCGAGAGATCAACGGTACATACAGATGTCACGTGTGTGTGTGTGTATAATGTGTTGTGTTGTGTGTCATTCGTCAGCGGCTTGGCGCCGGCGAGGATGCGGGCCGTTTTGACGAGGAGGAAAAGGGCGAAGAGGAGGAGGAAGAAGAAGAGGAGGACACACTAGCTGCCGGGCCCCAGGAGGCGCCAGGTGCGTGCGTGATATCAAGATGGATGGTGCAAGCTTCGGCCTCTATCAATGGCGGCGTGTGTGTGCTCGTTGTCCCTGCAGGCTTTGCTGCTCCTCCCGACCTCGGTGGCAACGGCGGCGCTCAGGTACTCGACCGGCAGACAGACAGACAGAGAGACCGACAGACATGCAAATGATTCGTGTGGCTGTCGTGGCTGTGTGTGCACAGTATGCCGCGGTTGTTGGTGAGGAGGAGTATGAGGGTGAGGAGGAGTATGAGGGCGAGGAGGAATACGAGGGCGAGGAGTACGGCGAGGAGGGCATGGCGGGCCGTCAGGCTGGCGACCAGGAGGAGCAAGAAGAGGAGGGCGACTATGACGACGAGGAGGACGACGAATACGAGGGCGAGGAGGAATACGTTGGTAGGTGACCTGACCGCCATTCATGTGATGTGACTGACCAATTCACTGTGGGTGCGTCCGTCGTGTCAGAGGAGGGCGAGGGCCAAGAGGAGGGCTTGGAGGCTGACGGCCGCCCAATGCAGCGCTCTGCCGCAGGGGCCGCGTTCAGAAGGGTCGGTCACACACACAGACACACAGAGAGAGAGACAGAGACAGAGACATACTGTGTGTGTGTGTGTGTGTGTCTGAGCAGGAGATGTTAGGTCAGGTGATGGATGACGACGACGAAGACGATGAGGATGATGAGGATGACGGGGAGGAGGAGGGAGGCGACGACGCGCTCGAGCCACCATACCAGCCACACGACCAGCAGCAGCAGCACGGTACGCCTATTGACGTGACGTGTCATGGCTGGCTGGCTGATGTGGCATGTGTGGTGTTGATGGCATGACGGTGTGGTGTCTTGTTGTTGTTGTTCAGTTGACAATGGCGAGAATGACGGCGAAGAAGCCGCGTAAATACACCAACACCCACCCATCGCTACACACACACACAGGTGGGCTCTCTAACACAGAGTATGATTATCGCCGACCTCCCCTGCTCTGTGTGTGTGCGTGTGTGGCCGTGTGCAGCATCTTCCTTTTGAACCGGCTCTCTCTCTCTGCCCGCCTCATCGTCTACTTGCCTTGCCTTGCCTTGCCATGGATTGCCATGCATGCGTTTAGTTGTTGATTGATCCACACACACACATGTACGTGCATGCATTTGCATCTGCCCACCACATGACATCACACCACACCCCACCCCACCCCGCTCTCGACTCACTACTCACTACTCTCTCACTGATACCTACAGATGGACAGACAGATGGACAGACAGACGGACTATGTGCATAGCTTTTCTTCCACCCACTCCCCTTACACCACACACACACAGACGCCAGCCACTGTGTGACCGACAGACCGATCGGCTAGCCTAGGGAACGTCCAGACACCCATTCTCGCGGGCTGGTGTTTTATGCTTCTATGTAGACAACGAACGAACCAACCAACGGACTGATAGAGAGGCGGATGGATGGAAGGAGGACCCTTCGGTAGACTGCTTGTGTGCATGCGCGGCTGGCTGCCTTGGATGTGTTGACGTGACGCCTGTATGGGGGGTGGGGGGGTGCGCTGACATGACCGATAAGAGGTGTTTTGTCACGTAGCAAGGGACGGGAGAGAGAGAGAGAGAGAGGGAGGGATGGGGGGGATCGTACACATTACATCATCGTGACAGATTTGACAGACGAACGGACGCGCGGACACATCTTTTCTCAAGTGAAACGAACCACCACACCACCAGTCAGTCTGTGTGTGTCAGTTCAACCCCACGCCACACCCACATGCAGCCAGCATACACAAACCACCACCGCGATAGACTCACGAGATAGACTCACGAGACACACAGACAGATGCAGCAGACCGAAAAAGCGGCCTGCCGCATCGCATCGCATAGCATCCGGATCGGATCCACACCACATGTGCCACACTGCGTATCATACAAACACCCACATATAGCACCACACCACAGGGCTCATATGGACAGACAGCAAAAAAGGCTGCCTGCCCCTCTCTGATACATTATTATACACCATACACCGACAGATACCATAGACCCACATGTACGACGTACGCCATACGCTGCATACCACAGGTTTGCTCTCACAACCATCTTGTTGGTGTCGCCTGTCTGTCTGTCTGTTCCTTGTCTGTCTGTTCGTGTCACCCATGGGAAACGTACCGACGAGTGCCCAGTCGCATGGATGGTGGACATATGACATGGGATCGGGTCTCGCTGTCCGCCTTGTCATCCCACCCCCGCCCCGCACTTGTCAGCTGCCACACTGTGCTGAGTGAGCAGCTGACCAGTACCGGGCAGGCGCAATATGACAAGGCAGGCAGCGAGCTCGTGAGTGACGCACACAGAATGAAATGCGAAGGCCAAAAGGACAAGACAATACGCCTCGCTCAGTTGTGCTGGTCGGGGACGATGAGAGTGCCCATTGAGGCGACCAGTCGGCCCTTCCATGCGTTGGGCACCAGAATGGCCTGATCCACACCGTCGGTGCGAGTCTTGACACGCTCGGCGCGGCGAACTCTGAAGGACAACAAGCCAGAACGGGAACGTGCCTTGTCGCCTGTGTTTTGTAATGCTGTTGACTGACCCGGCATCGTCGAGTGTGAATGTGACATAGATCTGCAGGGTCGACTGCGTGGGCGTGGGGTCAACGGCACAGTACATCTTCTGGAAACCGCTGTGCGTGATCAGCTCCTCTGTGACACACACACCCCACAGTGACGTGATGGTGTCTGCTGCAAGCCGTCTGCTCTGTGGGGCTGCATAGATGCCCTTACTGATTGCCTCGTGCAGCTCTGCCTTGGTGATCTCGCCCCTGACGCCTTCGATCTTGACCTATACGTCACCCACACGAGTGCCGTCTCAGCACAGTACTGACTGACGCCATTCCTGTGTGTGTCTTCCTCACCGCGACGTTGGTGAGGCCTTCCCGGGGAGCCTTCGTCGAAGTCCATTCCAGCCACGACGCGCCTGAAAGGAGTACAGGCAACAACACATGCATACCCTCTTGCCAGCCTCCTATCGTTTGTGCGCCCCGATCAGCACCCTTAGGAAGCTGGAACTCCGACAGTTCCGCGGGCAGATCCCTCACAGAGCGACGGTCGCGGCGGGGGGATGTGAAGCCGCCAGCACGCCGCTCACCAGCTGCAAGCAAGAAACATCCCAGATGACGGATCTGTGAATGAGTGGGGGGGCTGCAGGTACGCGTGCGTTCCTCTGGATCTCACGTACGCGAGGGCGAGTGCCTGCCGAAGTAGGTGGACCTCTGGTCATCCTTGTTGGAGTGGGCGGGATGGAAGGGCGTCTGCTTCGAATTGGCAGAGAGGAACTGCGCATCCATCTTCCCAGATCTCTTCCTCGAGAGCGGTTGTGCAAGCGCCAGGCAGCGGTTTCAGGGAGCACCCTACCTGCGAGCTTAGTGTGAGCCCGATCCCGACGCCCCCCTCCGGCTGCCCTGGCACGACATGCGTTCATTCTTTGGTGTGACCATGTCGCTGCTTTCGGTGTCGCCAGAGAAGACGATAGAGTTCCCAATCTGTGAGTCATGACGGAAGGGCCCACGCGTTCAGACGATGTTTCTGTTGTCATCCGACCCGACAAGAACCAGAAGCTGAGCCGCCCCGGACCAGCCATGGGCTCTCCTGCCTCCCCTCCCCCTCTGGAAGAAAATGAAGAGATCAACAGGACCGTTCACCTCCCCACAGGCGACACCGATGCGTCACCAGGCGCCCATTCGCAAGCCGCGTCCATACTTGAAGACAGCCCGACATGGGCATCAAACATCCCTGCAGTGGGCGAGGCTCTCTTCGTTGACACCAACGAGACAGCGCCAGAGCTCGAGGGGCTTCCAGGAGAGGTCGACACACACCCGACAGACACGACCGCGCCAGGACCGAGTCTGCCGCTGCCGTCTCCTGACAGCAAGAAGAAGTCTGTGATGCTGTCGCGCAGGGGCGAGGACGGCCAGGCCCTGGCTGCGAGTGGCGGGTCACAGGCTTTTCAGTCGGAGGAGGGCGGAGACGCGTCGACGCGGCGATCATTGTTCGACAGCTTCTTCAGGAGCGGGCGCGTTGTGGCTTTTATCGACGCCGTCAGGTGGCCTTAAATGCTTGATTGGGAGGGCAGAGTAGCCGGATGTGTTTTGTCTGCATGGAGGGATCTGGTGGCATCTGTAGGTCGGCCTTTGGCGATGACGACAGTATAATCACCACGTGGGTGCTGGACAGCCCTCAGCGGGAACGCTGCACGGGGCCGGTGGGCGACCTCATGTTTGTGTCCTGCCGCATCATTTTTCTGGCGCTCGTCCCCACGTTGATGGGGCTGATATGGAATAGCATGCCCCTCAAAGATGTACGTAAGACACTTGATCGACCTACCTCCGTGTCTCTTTCTTTCCTTCATTCTGTTTCTTTCTTTCTTTCTCTCTTTCTCTCTTTCTCTCTGAATTTTATGCGTTCAGGAGGATCAGCCATGGCAGGTGATGAACGTATTCCTTCCTTCGATCTTTGTCAATGTCTGGCCATAGATGAGGAATGGATGCGTGTTCTACAGGACCAGATACTCTACTTTTGGGGCTACCTGCCAATGGTGAAGACAAGAAACTGAGAGACATATTGCCTTCTCAGGCTCTCTCCCTCTCTCTCTAGTTTCGTCTGTTGATAGGTGCCCTACCCTGTACCTGGATCCCCGGGTTTCTTTCGGAGCAAATAACCTTCTGGACACTCTTGGTCAGAGACAGACAGACAGACGGACGCATTCATATCTGTGGCCTGCCTGCTTGCATTTCATTCAGTGGTCATTCGTTCCGGGTCTCATAGGGCCAGCAATTACCCTGGGCATCAGTGCTGGCTCAGGAGTCACCGGTGACCTATCCTCAGCACAGAAAAAGGCGCAAAAGCGAATTCATATGGCGTGGCGCACTTAAAAGGAGACATGGTTCCGTCTTCTCCCTACCAGGTGTGCCTGCGCATGCCTTCGTCATTGGAATACCGATATTCGTTGTCCAGTGAGCCAGATACACGAGGAACGGATTGAATGCGCGTATTTCTTGTTACTTCCGGCCTTGTAGGTGTTTCTGCGTCCTCTTTGCTCTGCCTAAGTGGAAGGAGCGCTACTGGACCAGCTCCTGGGTAGGTGGGCTCGCTAACCCCAGGATGGCTGTTGCTCTCTCTCTCTCTCTGACGGCCGGCGGTGAATGCGTGTCTGCAGGGCTTCAAGCGCTGGCTCTTCTGCACCTTCATCTGCATGTTTGCGCCGGCCCTCTGGCTGGCGGTGGTGCTGTACACGTCATTGGTCGTGTTGGCCGCGCAGCACAAGCAGGCCTTCGTGGAGGGAATGCTGGTCTTCATCTTTCCTACATTCGGGCAGGCCAACGGAGGGACATGAGTGATGGATGCACATCGATTTGTTTCTCTGTCTGTCCGCAGATATTACCTGGTTTACTTCGCGAGGAACGTGCTGAGAAAGACCAGGAGGAAGATGGAGATCGCAGGAGCCATGTATGTCTGTCTGTATATATATGTCGTTCAAAAAACCTTTCTCATTCATCATGTCGTTGTGCTCTTTCTGCATTAGGTTGCCTGAAATGGTCACCACGATGTGAGCACCTCATTGACACCTGTTCGCTCACAGACATACTGTGTAAGTGACCCGCAGGCTGATCGATCTGTTGCCTGGCCTACAGGTACATGTCTATCTTGTTCCCAACGATCCGTGTGTGGGTGGTAAGACAGGCAGAAACAGGCAGCCATGGTCCATACTTGTATGTCTGTATGATGCCAGTTCTGGATGTCGGCGCTCCAGCGGTGCCTGTTTCTTGCCTACCCGGCCTATACCATCATCCGCGTAGGTGAACCAAGCAAAGCAAAGCCAAGGAGAGCGAGTACGCACCTCCTTCATTGACTGACTACGGCATGCATGCAATGCAGGAGCACAACAGAGCGGTGCGTCGCGTGACGTCCACAGGCGAGTACAGGCGTGCCAAGCAGCCGCAGAGGAGTTTCACTCTGGAGAGCTGCTGCAGGTGCCTGTGGTCTAACCTGCTCCTTGTCCTCACATGCGGTCGGTACACACATCTCCATGCAGTCAGGGTACTTAGCTCTTATCGTCTTGCGTTGATGTATACATACGGCAGGCTACGGCATGGAGACATTGCCAAACGTGCACTCGCCAAACACTCAAAGGAAGAACCCGGAGGCGTTCATGGCGTCTCGCCGCCACAGCGCGCTAGCCAAGTATCTTACCGCACACACCACCCAACATCTCAGGGACCACAACGACATTGAAGAGGGAGCAGCAGCCGACAATGGCAACACTGAAGACCAGCAGCAGCAGCAGCAGCAGGAAAGTGACGTGGCAGCCATGTTCTCGATGCAGCCGCCGGTCAAACAAGTCACCATCGGGCACCTTCACGCCGATAACAAGGCCGTGCCTGACGACGTCCTGTCGCCTCAGAGCCAGACGAGCGATTTCCAAGCCTCCTCCCAATCCGATGAGCCCCCACAGCAGCAGCAGCAGCAGCAGCAGCCGATCCCGCAGAGAAAGAGCGTGACAGTCGCGGAGAAGGCGAAGGAGATGGAGCAGCTCGATAAGGAGCTCGAGGCGTATCAAGCAAAGCGCCGGTCGTCGATCAAGAGTCTTGTGGCGTCCACAGGGCGCCGTTCGTCGGCAATTGTGTCGCTGGTGAGGGGGGGAACGGGGGAGCTGCTGTCCATCTATACGTTGGACGATCGCATCTTTGAGGACGTGACGGCCGCCTTTGGTACCTTCCTCATTCAAGCTTTCACAGAGGTTGGTGAGGCGGGGGAGGGAGACATGCATCGCGCATCTGCCTGTCCTTGGTGGCTTGATTGCCTGTTGGTTGTGTGCAGATAATCGGCCCATTCCAAGTGTTTCTCTACATGTGGTACATACGGAACGTAGCGCCATCTGGCCACCTGTACCCCGCCTTCACCGACCTCAGTCAAGAGGCATTCGACAGATTCTTCATGTACGCAAAAGGGGAACAAGGGGAAGGAATTGACTTGAATGTATCCGTCTATCTTGTCTGCCTCTCTATCTATCTGACCAAAAATGTGCTCTTTGCTGCCACAGGTTTACCGTCTTCACAACGGTCTTCAACAGCATTACCACCTACCTGGTGCTGTCCATCTGCAAGCCATACCTGCCCACACCAAGTAGGGAAGGGAGACATCCAATAGCAGTGTGTGTGCGTGTGTGTGTGTGTGTGTTCGTGTGTGTTCGTATGTGTGTGTGTGTGTGTATCTCTGTATATTGCGTTCAGGGCGGATGCTTGTCTCCAAGTTCCTGGGCGAGTGGACGTTTCTCCTTGTCATGTTGGGCTCTCTCACGATCTCGCCTGTCTATCCAATTGTCCTCCTGTAAGCTCACGTCAGATCAAAAGCCTCCGGATTCATGGGACTTTCTTTCTGGTCAGGACCCCGCATAACCACTTTCCGCTCGGTACGCTGAGCGGGCATTTTTTCAGGGCGAAAGCAATCTTTGCTGACCTCCGTGTTGTTTCTGTCCACCATTATCGGTCATCCAGACCTATCAGTGACCCGTGTACGCGACTAGGCAAGGGAGCTGCACAAACCATGCAGGGGCCAAAGAAGCCTGCAGGACACATAGAGGGCCTGCATGCCTCGCACCTGTCCGTCTGCTGTTTGCAGCGATGAGCCTTGGGGTCCAGGCCTTTGTCGTCTCCATAGGAAGAAAGCAATGTGCCGGTTTTCCCTTCTTGTGTCTGTGTCTTCCATACAAAGGTCGGCGTGGGGTGTAAGACTGAGTGACATCACCTGCTGTGCGCCCTCGATGGGGTCAAATTCGGTTGCTATGTGTGAGGGTCGTAGCACCTCATGCCCACATACATGTATAAGATAGGTCGCAGCACGAGCAGAGGCCACATGTGTCTCACTACTATACCACGACGTGCAACACACACACTCAGTCGATTCCCACCTCGGGATACTCGCACTGCTCCGAGTGTCCCATCTGCTTGAAAGCTCCGCGCAGACTTGAAATGGCCTCTGACCACCGTATGGAACACAACAGAGAGAGACAGACAGAGACAGCCCAGCAGTTGTTGCCATCGATACAGCTCGCGATTGTAGCGCTCGCTTACTGATGAGGTCCGCGACTGCGACGCCCGTGAGCAAGCTAGTCCATTTGATTTTGCTGAGTATGCCCACCACGTACTCGTGCTCTTTCACGAAGTCTTCTTTTTGGAAGTAGCCGTATCTTCTGAGCCACTTGTTGAGGGTGCCCTTGACTCTTTCTCCTGCACACAACATACTCAATGGATGTGAGTATGTGTTTGTCAAGCCCGTTTTCGGTCTCACGGATGAAAGGCTGATCTCTCCAAATCCCTCCCACAGGCCGTACAGCTGCACACGGCCGTGTGTGCATAAAGAGAGAAGAAAGACACATGCAGAGAAACGGGAGACACGAACTGCTAATTTTTGCATGTGTTACCTGTCTGTCTGTCTGTCTATCTGTCTTTCTGCATGCATCTTTGCAGCCGCTTACATCCCAGAAGTCCGGGGCCGCCAGGACGCCAATGAGACTTTGGGCCTTGTGTGCCACCAGGAGAGAAGATTTCAGCAGCACCAGCGCCCACGCCATCCACACCAGAGCAGCCGCCTCCACGTAGTGCAGCTTGCGAGGCTTCTTAACAAATGGCGGCAGTGCCGGCATCGTCACTCTTTCCATCACCTTAGCGATGGCCGCCTTGCTGTCTTTGAGGAAAAAGTGCATTCGTGCAGACAGCCCTATCGTCTTGAGGACCTGTGTGGGGTACATCGGCACACATGGAGACAGGCATATGACCTTACCGAACGGGACGCCTTGCTCATTTACTTACCTCGAGCGCAGTGTCGGTTAGCATAACCTTCTTGCTCACCAGAACGGCTTGTGGGATTTGGAGCAGAGCGGACGCAACCCTCCCGACGCTATCAGTCGGCCAGGAGAGCGGCCATTGCCCTCTGTCTGTCTGTCTGTCTGTGTCTCACTCTTCTGCAACAGCGTCGGCGCAGGCGAACGCATGTCGTGCACACCGAGACGCAAACAGGCACAGATGGGGATACTCCGCCGGGCATGGATCGAAGGGCCAACACTGCCCTTGTCGGAGGACGCCCGTACCAGAACAAGCCATATTCTTGTTGGCTGGGTAATACTGGGCATACTCGACCGCATCTTTGTGTTTGCTGCCGCTCGTTTCGACGAGGTAGGAGCTGATCAACCCGGACACAAGCCAATGGAAGGCAAACTCCACGCTGCATACACAACCGGACAGCGAGCGCCAAGCATGCAAGGGAGTCCAGCGTCTGTTAGTCCATTCACATGTCTGGTGACGAGCCGGAAGTGATGTTGTCGTAGGCCGCCTGCTGCCCCGCCGCTTCTGCCGCCTCGAATGTCTTTCTGTCGACGCACTTGCACTTGTAGTCGACAGCGCTGGAAGGATTGAGTGAAAGGATGTCTGAAATGGGGTCCGACGGCGACCAGCACTTGCGAATCTGATGATGCATCCAAATAGAGTATGTACCGTATCAGGTATCTGCGCGCACCTCTCCAGTCTTTTCTCTGTGGAATTCCTCAAAGAAGGAACAATCGAAGTAAGACATGTCTCTGCAGAGAGGACAGGAAATATGGCTCCTTGTCCTCCCGTACTGGCTGCGTGAATGCATGCAGGGATGAATGCTTTCTTACTTGTGCTGCAGCGACGGCTTTAGGTAGTCAGCAGCACGCTTCAGCTCGCCCTTTTTAGTCATGAAATTCATGTTTCCTGGTGCGCTGCAGCACCGCGCCTCACGGATGGTGCCGAAGACACCCAATGACCAGGAAGCCGACAACTTATCTGCATCGCACCAAACACACAGTCGACCCGACAGATGCACAAGACAGAGAGCCGGAGTCACCCAAACGGTGTCTCGACGTTGCTTTTCCAGAAGTCCAGCTGCCTGCCCACCGTTGTCATTGAGACACTTTGGCCCTTGGTCCAGTGGTATTATGTCAGTGTCCTTTTTGCAAACCTGAAATAGCCACAAACACATGATGTACCAATTAGACAGCCTCGGTGGGATGGTAGGTGGGAAGGTACCTGGGCGCTTGTCACGCTCATAATGGAGCCCAGCTGCGTGGCGGTCTTTGTGATCGTCTCTGAGTACCACGCGAGGACATCCTTGGCGATTTCTTTCGGTATCTTTGCTGCCTGTCTTATCAACAGCCGAACCACTGGATGCCGGCCCACAAGAAACGGGATAATCTACATCGATGCCACGTGGACGTGTCTTGTGTCTCGTCGCCCACGGTTCTGTACGTGCTTACGTCGCAGATGTGACTGTCGACGTAGGTCTGTATCCCCGTTGCAACTCTTTTGAGCAAAAAGGCCCTCGTTGCGCCTTGGACAATGGTGTCTTGCTTCTTGGCTGTCTCCAGAATGTATCGGTTCACGTGCTTCCTAACGATCCCCCTCACATCCCACCTCTCAAAAAACAACTCTTTGACCTGGTCGAAAAAGAGAATGCGACGATCACAGTTGTGCCCATTCCGTCGATAGACTCGTCGCCTTCTCACATGCTCACACGCCCCTCGCCCTTTTTCGCTGAAGGGCGGCTGACACAGAGAAGCGAACGGGAGACGGGATTGTACGTGTGCAGTGGCTCGAGTACTGCTACAGACCTGGAGGCCGTTGTACAGTTCGGTAAGTGTCCACTCGCCTGCTGTATCCCCGCCACCGCTGATCCCCATGTTGGTAAAAGGGACGGGAAATGACGGGCTGAACGGGTCATTGACTTCCATAAGGGCGTCCACGTCATCAAACGAGAATGGCTGGGTGGCGTTGTCCCTGGAGGACTGGAGGAGAAACGATGGCCCAAGGGGACGGTCATCACCGGTGCCGCATGCAGCGAAGGAGAGCAGGGGGAGAAGCAATTTCAAAGAAGCCATTTGGCGTCTCAGATTCAGGGGGGGGGGGGGGGG